AGATTTTGTTAAACTGATAGCCATTTAAAAGTGTTCAAGGCTTCTTTTATGTTTTGATTAGCTTTCTTTTTTCCTACATTTCTCTTTTGATATTTACTTATCCCTTTCTAAATACTGTCTTTCTGTGTCATTGCTTTATGAACTCCAAATAAACATCAGGATTTCAAAGGTTGAAGAATGAATGGACGAAAATAATTTTTATTCCACTGGTCTAATAATGTGATACCCCTGGATTTCTGAATGCGGGTTGGCCAGGCCCATGCCCAAATACCTGAGGATATAAAAAACAAAATCAGTATAATCGAACACAGAGTACAAAAAGAATAAAATTGGAATAAATAATTTGATGCAAGAAAACTAAAATAATCATCCAATAACTAAATCTCAGAATAAAATTTCATTAATAATAAAATCATCCTGATATAATAAATCCTCCATTAATATCGGGAATCCATACTGTGTGATCCCTAGAAAAATTCAAATTGCACAAGTGACAGCAATAATTGTCTATAACTGAATAACGAAGCATAAAAGAATCTCCTATGTAGAAATGGAAGAATGAAGTAGACTGATCCCTGCTCAGCACAAACAACCTCTACTCTTGACGAACACCTGAAAAATAATGGTAGGTCACGCCTATAAACAAATTTTACTTTACTACAGTCTAAGCAGGGATCCGATACATGTATACATCCTAGTCAATCCAACAATAACTAGTAGTCCGTATATATGTATAGATACATATGCACTATAGGAACCTCACTAGATTATATGATTGTCTTAACCTGAATAGTAGGCAACATGCAAATCGCACATAAAGTCGGCATGAGTACCTATACCTACCAAGGTACACAACTATACCATATCTAGCTACACATCCCTGGCAATATACGCACCCTAACCATGATATATTCTAAGACTCAAGCTTATATCATGGCATCATAATCATATATATAAATATTTAGTAACCATTCTATCTAATATAAAGTAATCCTCTATAAGTCATTCAACTTGTTCAGTTGACCTGACTTGAATATAAGAAGGACTTTACATTTTGGTTAATCCATTCCCATATACAAAAATAGGTAGGACTTAACTTCTTTAGTTAATCCGTCCCTAGAATGCCACCGTCCCATACTGGCGCATTAAACCACACAATCCAATACATGATGCAACAGATAAAGCAATATATCAAATAATCCAAAATAACATGATAAAAATCACATATATAATTCTTACATATACTTAAGCAAAATAACAACTCTAAGTAGCATGCATTTAATTTTTACAATATAATAAATTAATATGCATCTCAAATAGATTGATTTAACCTCCAGGACGTAATTAAATTATTTAAATCCAATTAATTGATTAAATTAGTTTAATGTCAATATTCATCCATTTCAATTGCTAAATAATAGTAAGCAATTAAATCATTTATTAACAATATGCAGACCTATTTAAAATGTCATATTGTTCAAGTCCATAGTCTGTTATTGTAGATTATGTATTATATGAGTTAGTCCCATCACTTCAACCAACTAATTCATCCAAATTGACCCAACATCATTAGAACAACCCAATTTATCAAACAGAAACTCAAAAATAATTAATATATAAAAAACCCAGCGCGAGAGCGTGCTCCCAATCAAGGGAGCAAGCTCTGTTCTTGTGGGAGCCAGCTCTCGGCCTGAGGGAGCCGCCTCCCTTCACCATGGAGCGAGCTCTCTTCCTGAGAGCCGTCGAAAATCATGAGGGAGCCGGCTCTCGACCTGTTTTGCTCCTTCTTCTTCGTTTTCGGCGTCTTCTAGTCATTCCGATCATTATCGTTAAGGGTCCTAAACCTGTGTTCTAAGTTTCAGATGATCTCCATTACTTATATAAGGTCCTTATGCATCTTTTACACAAATTAAAACAAGTTATCATTCAAGAAATTTCAAGATCAAATAACTATGAATATAAACACATAGACTCTGTTTTAATTTAATTTAAGCATGCATACGTACAAGATTCTTTTAATATCTGATTAACCCTGAAATTAACCTAGGCATGTATAGAACACGAAATCTAATGCTCCGTTTGGTTGGAGAGATGGAAAAATGGATGGAAGGGAGAGGGGGAGGGATGGATGAGTCATCCCCAAGGAAGGGAGAGTGTCTCCTTCATTTTTTGTTTGGTTGAATGGAAGAGACGGCATAAATGATTGATGGAGTACTAGTTTTTTTTTATTTGGTTGGAAGGAATGAAATGATAGTTTTATATATATTTTACTAATCTACCCTTACTATATAAAGTTATAAAATTAATTAGTTTAAAATTATTTGATAATATTGAGCTCTACTAACAAGTTGTCTAAAATGAATGTTTTATACTTACATGCCAAACAAACTTTTATTTTATTTTATTTTTATTTTTTAACATACCAAACAATTAATTAATTTAAATTTATTTAATAATCACTATAGTTGTTTAACGCAACATGGTTTTAACAAATTTTTAGGAAGGATAAAAATGGAAATTATAACTAATTTTGGTAGTTATCCTTTTTTTTCTCCACTATTCCCCCAAATTTGGGCGGATAGGAAAATGTATAGCAAGGGGGATGAAGCATCCCTCCTTGCTTCCTCCCTCTCTTCCCTTCCCTCCAACCAAATATGAAAATATTCATCCATCCCTCCTCCCATCCATCCCTCCCAAATCCATCCTTCCAACCAAACATAACATAAGGGAAGGAGTTAGAAGAAGAACTTGCCTTAAGGTTTCGAATTGAAACCTTTAACCTTCTTCTTCCCAAGCTTTTCTGGCGACCTTTGGCTGCCGTTAAAGTCCTCTTTGCTATTCGGTTCTAGCCACGAACAACTCCTCTTCCTTCCTCTTGGGGTTCAACCTTGGACTCTTTGGCCAAAACCTTTCGTTTCCTCTCTTCTTTTCTTTCTCTCGTTCTTTCATCCTCTTTCTGTATAGTGACGATCCCATACTAATTCTATTACTATTATAATTAAAATATACCATTAATAATAATAATAATAATCAAATATTCTTATATACATATATACCCATATATATATATTTATATATATATATGTACAACCATCCATTGGTAGTTATCCGTACCCATTACATCTCTTATCCAAATAGTCCATGTGACCCATTGGGGTGGTCCATTACTACTATCCATAACCATCCATTTTAAACAATAAAAATAAAATAAAAACAACTAATTCATTTAATTCTAACAAATAAAAATATAAACAAATACACATCATCAAATCAAGCACGCAAATTACAAAATTAATTACACTCCATTTAAGCATATTTAAATCACACAAATACATACAACTCAATTCAAATAAATCATTTAAGCACACACAATTTAAATTAAATAAATAAGTCAATTAAACATATAACAAATAGACAAATAATCAATTAATCAAAATTAGGAGTATTACAAATAGTGTTGGATTTTAGTTGGGGGGGGGGGGGGGGGATTTAGGGTATACTTGGTTTGTAACTCTGAAAATAGTTCTCAGAAATTCAAAAAATAGAAAACAGAGAACTATAAATTAAAGACTGTTATCTGAAAACATGCATTTTAATAACTGAGTTTTCAGAAAATTAAACAAGCAATTTTTTTTTTTTGGTAAATATTATATCATATCAACCGCGTCAAAATTTAAGGATTCTAACGTAGAAGGTCGGGTATCTAAAGTATAATATGGTAAAGAGTTCAAGTCCTTTAGTCAGAAATGTAATTTAGGTGGCACAATGTTAAAAAAAAAAAGATAAAAAAAAAAGAAAAAAAAAAAAAAAGAAAAAGTAAGGAATAAGTGAACTTCCTTTGATCGGTAGATACGATACAATAAAAGAAAGGAGAATAGAATGTATGACCCATCCTTCCCTGCTTTACAAATTTCCATCCTTCCAAAAACAGGGAAAAGAAAAGAGCAAACACAATTGAACTATGGTGGAAGAAGTGAGGGAATACAAGTGAACTATTATAAAAGTTTTAAATTAAATATTATCCTAAATTATACAAGTTACTATCTTCAAGAAATTATAATATAATAAATATTATTGAATATAATGGTAAAAATAATTAAAATTTTTGTTTCATTCTCTTTCAATGAACTTAGTAAATTATCATCTTATTTTTTTCTTTTCTATCTAACCGAATAAAAGGAGGAACTGCATAATCTTATCTACCCATTCATCTTTCCCTTCCATCCAATTTTTTTTCTTTCCTACCAAATAGAGCATTAAAGTCAAGAGGCAAAGAAAAACAAATAATTGCAAAATAATTTGCATGTCAATGAGTAGCCTAAGAAAGATAAATCATTCACAAAAAATAAAAAAAAAAGAAAGAAAAATGAGAGAAGTTTGAAAGGAAAAAAAATTAGAGTTCAATTCAAAAAGAAAAATTAATTTTTTTTAAAGAAAATTAAATAAATTTAATGAGTAAACGGGAAAAGAAGCAATATTGAATTTGGTTCAAGCCAGGTCTCGTCGCTTAATTAGGGGGCAAAATTATAAAAAAGGTTTTTATTGATGAAAAGGAGTCCAATTATTATTATTAGTATTATTATTATTATTATTTATTGGAGAATGAAAAAAATTGGAATAAAAAGAAGAACAGTAAAAAGGAAAAGAAAGAAAGGATTGGAGAAAATTTTCAAGGGATAATTTTAAGGGAAGTATTTATTACAATATTTTACAAATTATACACATAATATAAAAAATTTACTTGGGCCGCAAGTGTCTCGCTCTCCTAAAGTAAGTGGGTTTCTGAAAAATAAATAAATAAGTTTCCAAAGTAAATTCGGACAGAAACCCTAAGCCAAAGTCTTCTGTGTGTGTTTGGGCCATAATATATATATTCGCTCTTCGTTGATGGCGTTAACACTAGGAAAACCATATTGTTCGTTTGGGGACAGTTCACGCAATAAAATCCTTCGGTGCTAATAAGATTAGTCTGTGTTAGGAACCGCATAATAAAATCATAGATGAAGAAAGTGAAAAACTTAAAGTTGTCTCTTCCGGAAGAGCTTCTTTGCGAGATACTCAAAGAACTTCCTGTAAAAATCTTGCTTAGATTCAGGTGTGTTTCCAAGCGTTGGTGCGCTATGATTGACGATCTACCTTTTGTTCAGTCACACCATGATCACTCCCAGACTCGACCTCACGGCATCAACATCCTCGTCCTATGTCAACGTGGCTCATCTACTCAAATCTACTCTACAGATCCAGATGGATCAGGTCCAATCCTTCCATTGTTAGAAATTCCCGAAGTCAAAAGGAGCAAAAATATCTGTTTTTCCTTGCAATCTGTTAATGGATTAGTCTGTGTTAGCAGACGCATAATAAATCCTAGCACGAGAGAATGCATAACCCTTCCAAAAGTGAAGACAAGTATACCTTATGAGTTCGAAGAAGAAGAACTGGGTAGATTGAGGATTCAACCGGAATACTTGTTAGGGTATGATCCTGCCACTAAAAAACACAAAGTCCTTAACATATGTTATATTTTTATTAGTAAAAGACGCCTGGTCCAGTTCAAGATCTTGACTCTTGGCACAAACATGTGGAGAAATATTAATTCTGTCCCAAATCAATTAGAGGGACTTGAGATTTTCAGGGCTCGTTGCATTGCCGGTGTTATATATTGCTTTGCGCACGCATTGAATTCGGATGGAATATTGGCTTTTGAGGTGGGAGACGAGAATTTTAGGGTCATGCAACTCCCAGAGGGCGTGACTAAAAGCTTCTGTACAATAGAAGTTAGAGGGCATCTGGCTTTGATAGATAACGAGGTGAGAACAATTTGGATTTTGGAAGACTACTCCAAGCAATTTTGGACTAAGCAGAGTCTAAGTCTAATCCTTCCAAGAAGTCTTGGGCTGGAATTTGTAAAACCAATTGGTACCATTTCTACTGGTGAGATTTTATTTCAATTTAAACGGCAAGATAAAGAGTTTTTTTATTATGATTTGGAAAGAAAAACGTCAAGGAGGGCTGACGAGTTATCAAACTTACAAATACATGTTCACCCATATAATAGTTTAAACGTTCATTTCACCAAGTATGTGGAGAGCTTACTTCCATTAAAGCAGATGTAATTAGAAGGATTGTTACTTTATTTTTTTATTTTTTTATTTTTTTTTTATTTTTATCAGGTTTCATTATTTGTAGTTTTTGAAATATTCAAGATATTACAATTTTAAATTTTTTAAGTTTTATTCTCTATATATATGGAGAGAGAGGAGTGTAATGGTCATTGGAAACATTTTGGTTTGGTTTATATATATGGTTCTCACTCTATTGTTTTCATGAAATATTCCCTCATTTAAAGGATAAATGTTTTGAAGCTTATAGGCATTCTTAGATGCTCAAGACTAGCTTTATGTTTTGATTAAAAGGCTCGGCTTCACCCCCTTTTTTTTTTTTTTTTAACATTTCTCTTTTTGTATTTATCTCACCTTACTGAATTCTGTCTTTGTATGTGATGCTTTATGTTTTGTAAAAATTGAGCTTTTTCTTGAATACTAGATATGGCATTATGGGAGCTATCTTATAAAGGAGTCCTCATCCATCATTTCCTTGCAATTAGGTGATTCTAGCTTTCTAAGGAGTTAAAACCGGCCTCTTCATTAAACAAACCTTTTTGAGGCCATATCTAGCTTTACATTCAGCATTAAGACCAAAGTCATCCAGAAGAGATTGCACAACCATCGAAATAGCTTGAAGTCTGTATCTAGCATTAGACAATTGGGACATAATATGTTTAAATACATTTGCATTCCAGTCTTTCATTTTCGCTTTCACACCCTGCAGCTTTCTGAAAAGAATGTATTGGGGTTACCCGACACTTGAATAATCCAAGCTTCCTTTATAACCTCTCTAAACTCCTGTGATGTTGACAATATTTTAGAATTAGGGAGGTTCTTAGTGTTTGTTGTCAAGTACAGTGTACCCGTCTTGCTTCCACGGGTCACAACCAAGGTTGCCTTGGTGATTTTCCACAAACCACTAATGAAGTTAACTGCATGCCCATCGTCGTCTAGTTGTCCCATAGAGATCAAATTTTTTTTTTTTTCAAAGCCAAGAACATGCCTCACATTTTGCAATTCCCATACAGCCCCACTAGGTTGCTTCATCCGAATATCACCTTTACCCATGATATTCAAAGGCTCATCGTCAGCCAGATAAACCTTTCTTAATTAAATCACCACAGACGTAGTTCTCCATGATTTCATGATGCGGGTAGAGTGAAAGGATGCACCTGAGCAGTGATAGATCTATGAAAGGCTTAGTGGGGGCATCCTCCCCACTGAAATTTTTTATTATTACATTTTATATCACTAAATTTATACTTTTATGTATTTATACTCGAAATTTTTTAAAATTGCCCCCACTAAAATTATAAAATAACCCTTTTATATAAATTTGGCCCCTCATCATATGAATTCCTAGATCTGTCCCTGCACCTGAGTCTAGAACCCAATACTCAACCAAACTATCTACACTCAGAATTAAAGCATCAATAACCTCTTTTCTGACGGCGTTTACAGAGTCCTGTTTTCCTTTAATCTTCTCTTTGGTGCTCGACAATCAAATTTTAAATGCCCATTCTTTTCACATTTCTAACAGATTCTAGTTTTCAACTTGCTTCTGTGTTTGGATTTGGATTTACTACTGTTTGAGTTTGATCTTTTAGAAGCTTTTCCTCTGTCCTCGGCATTTAAAATAGATCCAGATGATTCCTCTGTTTCCCCTCTATGAATATCTTCACAAAGAATCAAGTCTTGAACATCATCTAACTTCAATTTTATTTTCCCTGAATAACTACTCACTGCTGTAATAGTACCATTCCAGCTTTCTGGTAAATTGGATAAGAGAAACAACGCCTTAACCTCATCATCAAACTCTATCTTTACAGAGTTTAACTGAGTCGTAACAATGTTAAACTCGTTCAGATGGTTAGTCACTAAAGCGTCTTTTAACATTTTTTGGTTGAATAATCGCTGTATCAAACATACCTTGTTAGACGCAGTGGGTTTCTCATATATATTTGAAAGGGCAATCATCAAACCTGCTGTTTTTATCTCCTTTGCTATGTTAAAGGTAAAGTTGCGCGACAACATTAATCAAATGACCCCTAGTTCTTGCCGATCAAGAAGGGCCCAATCATCATCCTTGATCTCTTCTAGTTTCTCTTCGGAAAGAGGCTGATACAACTTCTTCTGATGCAAATAATCCTTAATTAATCTGTATCTTCCAGAACCTGAAATCTGCACCATTGAACTTGTCGATCTTGACCTTTTTTTTTTTTTTTTTTTTTTCTGTACCCATCGCTCCCACTCGAACCTAGTGGCTCTGATACCAGTTGTTATGAAATTAAATAGAAAACACAAGAAATAGATTAAACACACACACAACAAGAACACAAGGATTTTACTTGGTTCACCCAAAATTCAGGGCTATGTCCAAGGATTTCATTATGATGATAAATAAAGGTTAGCAGATATAGAGGGTTCAAAATGAATATATAACCTAGCACTAGGGCAACATAACAGACTCCACACTACCCATCAAACATCGATATGGATATTGGAAAACTATGTAAAACAAGTGTGGATTAAGCACAGTCTAATCCTTCCATGAAGTGGTCATGGGCTGAATTATTTAAAATCAATTGGAACCTTTTGTATTGGTGAGATTTTATTTTTATTTCAATCAACACCAGACGAAAAATATCTTTTTATTTTTTATAATGATTTGGAAAGAAAAACATCAAGGGGGCTCATGAGCTATCAAACTTACAAATACTTGTTGGCCATATGACAATTCATCAGTCCATGCCACTTCACCAAGCATGCGAAGAGCTTACTTCCATTATAGTAGATGTAATTAAAAGGATCATTAAATTGTCTTATTTTATTTTTATTAGTTTGAATTTCATTATTTTTAGTTTTTGAAGTATTCAAGATATTACAATTTCAAGATTTTAAGTTTGATTCTATATATACATGAGTATTATATATTATGGTCATTGGAGACATTTTGGTTTGGTTTATTGTTCTCTCTCTATTGCTCACATGAAAAACTCCCTCAATTCAAGGATAGATTTTATTAAGCTTATAGGCATTAAAAAATGTTCAAGGCTTCTTTTATGTTTTGATTAGCTTTGTTTTTTCCTACATTTCTCTTTTGATATTTACTTAACCCTTTTTGAATACTGTCTTTGTATATCATTGCTTTAAGAACTCCAATTAAACCTCAAAGTTTAATATGTTGGATTTCAAAGGTTGAAGAATGAATGGATGGAAATTATTTTTATTCCACTGGTCTAATAATGTTGGATTTTAGTTGGGAAGGGACGGTTGCACAGCAGTTTAGGGCATGCTTGGTTTGTAACTTTGAAAATAGTTCTTAGAAATTCAAAAAATAAAGAACAGAGAAATATAAAAGACTGTTATCCAAAAACAAACATTTTTATAACTGATTTTTCCGAAAACAGTTTTCAGAAAACTAAACCATGCACGCAGAATTTTTTGTACAGTTTTCAGTTTTCCTAGAACAGAAAACTGTTTCCATAGTTACAAACCAAGCAAGCCCTTAGTGTCTTTGTAGCTCTTTTGTTCTTCTACGCAATGCATTCCTTGATGTCTTAGACAATCTTTAGCTTCCATCTTTCTTTCCTACTTAATTGATCTTTGCACCCGTCGTAGCTATGTCCATAACTGAAGGAAACTGCTTTGATCCTTCGGCAAAATTCGTAGTGTCATTGTTGATTGAGGGGTTGCTCATTTTGAGGCCTATTGATCAGTGATCCTTGATTTTATTTTTTTGACAAATTTTAAGGTTCTCTCCTTGAATTCCTAACAACTTTGTGCTTTAGATGGCAGTCCATCATAATGCTTTCCACCATAAACAATTTTCATTACATCCATTCCCGAAACCTTTGTTCTTTTTTCTTGCCCTTTCTTTAGAGACATTTGGATTTCTATCCAAAAATATACTCCACTAGATTAGACATCTTTTTTTAGACAAATGCTAGAGGGATCATGTCTCACATCGAATTTAGATGAAAAAGAGATTGGGTATATATGGACAAGTATAAAACACTACCCAACAATATTGAGCTTTTGGGTCAGAAGTCCATTTTCATTCACTCGCACCATACTCGCTCTATCTGTTAACAGTTTGGTCTATGAGTATAGGAACTCATACAAATTTGTTTAACATTTGTTTTTTTTGTTATTTGTTTAAAATACATGTGTTTTATTTGTGTTAAAAGGGAGTTGTATGGGCGTTCACTTCTGATGGGCATGAAACTCTGCTCTAGTGTAATTTGTGAAATGTGTGTGTACTTACCTAATAAAAACTTAATAATAATAATAAAAAAACCAACTCAACTAGTCTGATGATCTTTTATATTTATAATTTTAATTGCATCATATATTTTTAATCATAATTAAATTATTTCCAAGTCTCCTTTTTCTATAAAACTTGTTGTATCATAATCCTTTAATTTATTAACATGAATATTTAGATTGTGCCTTATATTAATAAAAAAAAAAATATTAAGCAAAGATAGCCCAAACTGTGTTTGATTCAGTTTTCTGAAAACTCTTAAAAATCTTTTGACTTGGAGAGAGGTAGAGGGAGACGGTGAGACACCTTATAAAGCACAGAACATGGAATGGTTAAAGAACATCATTATGGTTTGATAATTGGTTGCTTCAGGTCCAGGTCAATGTTTCATTCTATAGGTGATATGGTTATTCAACATTCTGGTCTTCGAAATTAAAGAAGCTTTTGTTGCTTATATTATTGAGATGAGTTTGACAATGGCCAATGGGGGCTTCTAGCATTAAAACGTCGGCATTTTGAGAATTGTCCTTTAAAGTAATTTTAACTTTGTGTATTTTTTATTATTATTAAATAAAGAATATTGGGGGGTATTTTCGTATTTTTACCAACCCCTCTTACAAAAAGTCCTTATTTGCACTATTTGGAAACTATAGGGGTGGCGTTTGAATGATAGGGGCGTGTTTTTCACACTTTTGAAACTACGGGGGCGTGTTTTGCACTTAACCCATTTTGGAATTGAACAATTGAATGCTTAGAGCATTTGTAATGCAAAATGCTATATTTTCATGCCAAATTTCTATTTTGAGAGGAGTTAGTGTCAAAATGCTATATTTTTGCAATTATGATCCAATGGTGCATTTCATCAAAAATGCTATTTTTTGACACAACAACCATTCCATGTTTTAAGAGCCCATTAGAATCCCTTATTTTTATTCTAGCAACTTTTGACAATCTCAAAATATGAGAGGTCTTTTGAGAGAGTACATTGGAGTGTCAATTTTTATCTACTCATTATATTTTGAGTTTGAGAGGTCATTTGAGAGTTGCTACATTTGAGAATCTCAAAATATGAGAGGTGTTTTGAAAGCCCATCGGAGTGCCTTATTTTCATCCACCTGTTGTATTTTGAGTTTGAGAGCTCATTTAAGAGGCCATTGGAGATGCTTTTCGCTAACTATGTACACAAAGCACTGAATGCACATATTTAAGTTTCTGTACTGGTTATTTTGCTTTAAAAATAATAATAAAATAAAATTTTACATAAATGTGTTGTAGTTACACAACCGTTTCTCTTGGCATTTAAACTTTTATACATAAATGTGTTGTATTATAGCGACACGACATTTAAATTTAAATTTGTTGTGTTATAGTTACATGACCTTTTGAGATAGGTCACTAGAAACCAGTGCTCTCTTTTACTAGTTTGCATTGGTAGGCTTTTTAAAACCAACTAAAAGGTATTCTTTTAAATTATTAGAAAGTTACGTGTACTCATGAGTGAATATAAGGGTGGGCTTGAGGCCCCTTAAAAAAAAAAAAAAAATTGTTACTATACTAATTTTAGCCTAGTTCAAAAAAAATTATTAATAAAATTATTCTACTCAATCAAGTCCAAGTTAACTTAGTCACAATACTAAAATAAAGACCTAAATGAATTAAGCCCAGTGTCATGGGCCTAGAGTTTTGGCGCAGCGGCACGGCCCGTGCGGCACCAAGGCGTTGTTTTAGCTCGCGCAAGTGCCCTGATCAGCCACCACAACCTGCCCTTCCAAGGATACATGCTAACTGTTTCGGCCTGCCTTGGCCTTGTTAGGGGAACGGCTCCAGCTCCCGACCAGTTTGTCCAGGGATGGCCAACTCCCTTCTTCATAGTCAAGTCCACGACTAGTGACAAGCACCTCGAACTGAACCAAGTCGACCTGCCTGAACTCTGAAGAGGTACCATCCTGTGGTCCTGCACGCCCCTTCTTTGGAACCATTCCCAATCAATGAATGTTCTTAGCCAACCAGTATGCGTGTCTCCTATGATCATAGCATCGTTAGGAATCGGAACGTGACATTCTCCCCCACCCAAATCCTGCGACGCCCTCGTCGCAATGCGGCGCTGACTCCGCTGCGTCCAACATTCCAAAGTCTCTCTCCTAAAAGTGGAATGCTCGCCTGCCCACCATCGCTTCCTTGTACAACCCCTGGCTGCACTCACCCAATGATAGGGTTTCGGGCTAAAGGGACGCCCACTTTTTCGGGACGCAACCCCACATTATGCCACCTCCGCGACACCCCGAGCAAACAAAGGCCCTCTGGCCGACTTGATACCCGCCCTTCACAACGGTTTGCACGCCTCTTGAATTTGTAAGAACTTTGGTGCGCGCGGCCCTCCGGCTTCAAAGGACGCTTCTTCATGGGGAGATGGAGGTTCTCCTCTAACAACATTGATTGCCCACCGACGCTTTAGTGCACCCACTTCATTCTCAAGACCCCCGGATCGACAAGGGGGCACACCTCTGTGCTTTTCCCCAAGTCCTGCTCTGATACCATTTGTCAAGGGCCTAGAGATTTGGCGCAGCAGCACGGCCCGTGCGGCACCAAGGCGTTGCTTCAACTCGCGCAAGCGCCCTGGTCATCCACCAAGACCTGCCTTTCCAAGGATACATGCTGACTGGTTTCGGCCTGCCTTGGCCTTGTTAGGGGAATGGCTCCAGCTCCCGACCAGTTTGTGCAGGGATGGCCAACTCCCTTCTTCATAGTTAAGTCCACGACTAGCGACAAGCATTTCGAACTGAACCGAGTCGACCTGCCTGAACTCTGAAGAGGTACCTGTTGGGATTTATATGCCCTGGCATAGCAAATTCCTGTTTGGATTAAAGTGACATATATTCCTGACGTTTATGAAATATTTATGTTTTATACAATTGGTGAATTCAATGTATTATATTTCGATTCATTATAGAATTGATAGTGTCCATTTGATTACAAGAGATATTTATATATATGTTTGTGATGGCAATCAATGCATGATATATAAATAGTAATCATAAATGGTTCATAGTCGGTAATTATGGATGGACTCATAATTAATTAAGATTTGAACTGGATCCGTGTTAGGTTGAGATATATTGCGAGAGCCGTCGTATGCAATTGCTCCCTATCACCGTCATGGCATTTGACTCTTAAGTATGAGAAAATTATAGACTCTTTTATTAATTAATAATTACTTTGATTTGTTCGGCGGATTCTTCGGGATCCTTAGACCGATACTTTGGGTAGTTATGTAATTAATAGTTAGAGGGTTATATTTTCAATATTTGCATCATTACTACTTGTATTTATTTTGTATTGATTATGGTTGATCACAAAGTAAATTCGAAGGCCTTCGTGTATTTTTAGACAAAATGATTTATTATATATTTATTTATTTAAATTATTATTTTTGTCAAACAAATGTTTTATTGTGATCGAGCCAGAAATAATCAAAGGTACCAAAATAAATATATTAATTAAGTAGTCGGATTGAGGGCTTTATTTATCCGATAACTAATTATGCATAGAGGGGTCAAAGTGCAATATTGACTTAGAGGTTATTTATTATTTAATTGGAGTTCAATTAATTTCTTTTAGTGGAGTAGAAATTAATTTATGACTTAATTGAATTGGGTCCATGAACCGGGCCAATTATTAATTCATTGTAGCCAATAAAATAATAGGCCCAATGGATTCTCACTCATAGCCTAACTTGATATTGGAATCATATTAGATTTGAGACATGTGAATTAGAGATTGAGAATGATTAGTTGTTTCCTTTTCTTTACCTTTATGTTGCCTATAAATATACATGGTCTATGTATATTTTAGGTGTGATTTTTAGTAGAAGGAAAAAGGAATATATTTTCTCTCTCTAGAAAATTAGGGTTTACGTTCTCATCTAATGGAGGCTCCCACAAGCCTAGTTTTCCAAGGTCATTTATGGAGGTATATGAGTGATTCCTAAAGGCAAAACAATTACCAAGAAGATGGAGATCCAAGGAGAATGCATCTTGCTAAAGGATCTACAATAAGTGAGAACATTCACTTTAGAGGAGAGATCTAAGGTTTACTCAAACCTTGATGTAAGTATTCAATCTTTTAATTGAATGATACATCATGTTTTATTTTTGCATAAAACTTGTCTCTATGTAATGAATCAAGATCTATGAATTTAAATCCCTCGAAAAGTTTTTAAAACTAGCACGTTTCCCAACAGTACCATCTTGTGGTCCTGCACGCCCCTTCCCTGGAACCATTCCTAGTCAATAAATGTTCTTAGCCAACCAGCATGCATGTCTTCTATGCTCATGGCGTCGATAGGAATTGGAACGTGACACCAGGGTCAGTCCTGACCTAAGGCAACAAAGGGTCTCAAAATTTGCGGGGCCTTGTACGATAAGACACAAGAAAAAAATAAATAAATAAATTTAGGGCAAATCATTTCAACCAGCTGGTCAAATGGTCAAAACTCCAGACAGGGAAAATTTTTATCACTATTATCAGATTAAATCAGCCAAATCCTGTAACTCTAAGTACCAAACCTGCTTTTTTTATCGGTTATTTGACCATTCGACTGGTCGGTTGTTTTTGCCTATTATATATATCAATATTTTTAGGGCAAATCATTCAGCCTCCCCAATCGCCTCCATCTCCATTCTCGTTCTCAGATCTGAACTCCCCCCTTCCCGACCGCCCTCTCTTTCTCTGCAACTGCAAATTACAAAATCTACAAGAATCAGAAGTTCAAAGCCCATATATTTCAGATTCAAAACTCATATTGGCATATCATTTCAGATTGTTCAAAAAATCAAAACCCATATCTTTCAGTTTCCATCGCCCGCTGTTCTAGTTAGGGTTCGCCGTTCGCAAGCTTCAGCTGCTGTCTCTCAACTCTTAGGCTTGGCCCCTTCTCTCTCTGCAACTGCTAACTTGTATGTATGGGTTTTGTTTAATTTTCTTTCTTTTCTAAATCGAAAAATCAAGGTTTGTAATTCTAGTTTTGCAAACTAAATCCTATTTGGTGAAATTTTTACAATATAAAGTAACAAAATTTTGAGGTAATCACTGTAATCTACATTTTATTTCAGCAAAACAAATATATATATTTTTATTTCTTTAACTTCTATTTTTGGGATTTTTTTTTTTTTTTTTTTTATTTTTTATTTTTTTTTTTATACAAGAAAATTTGAATCTGGGCATGAAAAAAAAAAAAAAAACAAACGAATTTGAATTGGATTAGAAATCTGCATAGATTGAATCTGATCGAAACAATTTTTATCAACATACCAAGCTTTTTGAAGATGGAAATCTTTTCAGAACTAAAAAAAAAAATCACAACAAGAACTTTGACAAGCAAAAGTAGTTAATATGGGGTAAAGCTCTAAAGTTACTTCTTGAAAATTAAAATACTTACAAAAAGCATGCTTTTGAGTGAATTCCGTAGTGTTGGAAGGGGCTTGCCATGAACTACCTCACACTTGCTTGCACTAGTAGATTCTCAAATAGGATTAGTAAATTGGTCAAAAGAAGAGATAGGGTACTGAGTGATGAATTGTTCAGAAATAAGTTGGTAATTTTTCTTATTAATTACCCAAAAAGGATTTTCTATGCCTTAATCAGTCAATTGTCTAAAGAAACATTGTTAGTTAACTAAAATTGAATTAAACAACATTTGATTTTGATTGAAATATTTTGATTTAGCCCACCCCATTGAGAAATCCTGGATGTTTTGTTTCACATAGAAATATTACACAAAGGATATATTCTATCTTTCTGCCATATTTTTATTTTCAAATTTTGGTTTTTAATTTTCTTTTGTTATTAGAATGCAGAATATCAGGATATTGATTTGTTAATTTTGAAGATTAATCAGGATATTGATTTGTTAATTTTGAAGATTATTCCTAAACTGATGCATTGTACTTTGTTATTGGATTAATTTAACATAAGAGCTTAGAATAATATGTGTTAATCATACTTATCCTTAATCACACCTCTTTCTGCGCATAGGTGTCCAACATTTTGACTGAAAGCATAGTTGGGTTGGGTTGATACATGACACAAATAGTACTTAGATGGTGGTGTTTTAATTGTTATGAGTGAGATTATGAAACCTCTTCCTTACAACTTGTGTGTTTTTTTTATTTTTAGGGTTAACATCGGGCCTTAACATTTAGCAAGAACAAGGTTCAAGAAACATGCCTCCTCAATCATCAGGTAACAAAGTCCTCTTTTTTCTAAAATTTTTATTGGCATTTTTAGCTATTGGTTACGTTTATATATTCATTTTTTACATACTGATTTTTTGTTTTTGTTTTTGTTTCTACATACATATATATGCTTGATTAATGGCAATTAAAGACTTGGAAGTTTAGTTTTCAATTTCAGAATATATGTTTTACAAGTTCACTAACGCTTTTAAACCTTTTCCTCTTTTTGTACTAATAATGTAGGTCTCTTTTCTGAAAGAAGAGAGTTGATGGGAATGGGTGGTGTTGGGAAAAAGAAGGTATGTTTTTTTTTTGCCTAGCTAATTGAATTATATAAATTCCCTTACCGTTGTAGCAGTGATGTTGGTTTAATGACCAATTATGATAGGAAGTCTCTTTTCAGTTTATCTTAATCAAATGTATATCTATGCAAGAGGATTACGTGATTCTAGATGATGATTCTAGATAAGGATGTTAATGTCAACGTTACGAGGATTTTGATGTCAACGTTGACTCTAGTGATGACGATTGATGATGTTGATAATATGTTGATACACTCAACTTAAGTCAAAGCACTTAGAATTGAAGGAAATTTAGAGTTGAAGACATACTATTGAGCATAGTGTCTAATTTTTTTAGTTATAAGAATTTTTGGTCACTTCACACACGATTTTTCAGGTCGTGAAATTCTGAAACAATGGTGTGTAATATGATTCATCTACTTGGACTCTCTTCTTTTTCATCTCTCTAAACAAAGACTATAATTTTAACTTTTACTTTATCAATTTGAGCATTGACAGAGTTTTTGAAATGTTGAAATTGAAACAACAAAGAAGAGAGTCCACCGATAAGAATTATCCAACTTAGGACAAAACAAGCTCTCGGAGCGTCCTAACTAATATTGGCATGGGAGACTTCTATAGATATGGACGGACTTGTAGAGAGAAAGATATATGGTTGGGGGCACAAAAATGTACGACAACTGTGAACCAACGATAGGGTTGTGAGCTTTTGGCTTGTTTCATGCGTCCGATCTAAGAAGTGTACAACAATGAAATGGATAGCTCTGATGCACTCAAAGTTACAGACAAAGACAATAATTAATATTATATATTTATAACTTACTTTACTAATCTAATATGATACTACGTATATCATACATATATACATATATATATGTGTGTTTTGATTTAGCCAACCCCATTGAGAAATCCTAGATCCGCCCTTGCATATTTTCTGTTCTGCATAGTTTAAGGAGATTCAAATTTGCTTACAACAAGAGAAGAGCTTGCCAGTCTTTAGCATTGTATTGGAAGTTAAGAAAATGTTGAAGTGATTGCATCTAAAGAACAGATGTGAATGGTTTTCCATGCATGAAGAACACAGAGAGCATAGGTTTGTTGAAGCAAGGTAGGACATACTAGATCTATCAAGGGTGGGGTGTTTAAATTACCAAGGGCTGTCATCCAAAGGGTGAAGCTATGCTTGGGTATGTTGTGCTTGAACCATATTGTTGTAGTCCAAAATAGAGGAGGAGGGAACTGTGAAATGATTTTAATGGTAGAGGAGTGTACAGGGAAGAAGCGGAGAGAAAGCCATAAGCAGGGTAGGGCTTGAGATTCCCAAAAGGCGAACTTTCAAATGTGAAACCCTTTGTACTGTTGTGGTCAACATATATATTTCACACCGACAAAAAAACTTATAAGATTGCACAGTTTTCATTAAAATGAGAATTGAAATATCTAGGACTCGTTCGGGAAGAGAAAACTTTAATAGCTTGGATGGATTGAAAATCCATTACAATTCTAATTAATATGTGTTTCTATTTTTATAGATGTTAAAAAGATAATCTTTTATCACAAAATTACACTTTTACAATTATTACCTTTTTCTTTCTTCTCTTGCTTACAGCTCACAGTGGTAGTGGTTTGACTCTTTCTTCCCTCCTCTTTTGATCTTGTGTGTGCATGTATATATATATAGCTAACCTTCCAGGGTGATTTACAAATGAAAAAAATTAAATATAACTTATGTCAATAGATTCTTTCCTTATTTTGTTCATTTCAGGAATTGGTATTGGAATTCTTAGATGCTCAAGGAGCTCTTATGTGCATTATTATTTGCTCATATTCTTATAGATTGGTAAACCAAGATTCTCAATTTTTACTCTCTATTGCATTAATGATTATTATGAAATTGTAACTAAATCTGTTTTGGTGTGATTAATTTTGACAGATTATGCCTAGATTTTGTTGCAATGCGATTGTGAAGGTTGCAAGGTAGAATTTATGGTGGGAGATGGGTAGATTTGTGGAAGTTATGATACATCAATATGCTGTTCTAGGCGTCTTCCTCCATTCCGGATCATTTCCAAATACAGGCTGCTTACGTGAACTGATGTCTCAAACCAAGTCCTTTTACCATCTTTTGGATTTGAAGCTGAGATTCAAAAAATATATTATAATGTTCTCATTTTCAAAAGCCACTATGTACTTTCTCAAGATGCGGTTTCATTTCACATTTGGCTAAATTTCTTTCAATTGTTTGTGATTGATTTTGAGCCTCCTTTTTACACTTTACTCAATTGATTCATCTCTTTTCCTCAAAGAAAGTAGTAGATGATGATAATGAACTATGGTTGTTGATCTTGAATGTTTCAGTCCAATACTACTTATAAGGATGTCAAGGGTGTTTTGTGTCTGCTTTCAGAATTAGCTTCTAATAACCATCTCTAGACTGAAGCAGGTTTGGAAACTTCCTACTGATCGATGACTACTAGGGCTTTCTTTATGGTCTTTAGGCCCTTCCCTACTTGTACATAAACCCTCCAACTTTCTGTACATGGCTTTCTTTCCCCCACTCCACACACACTAGTAATGTATGGATGGTTGTCATATGAACAGGTTTAGGGATTCGGGATTTCCATATGAGGTTAAGGACTTCGTTGGCCGGGGTAAGGTTTTGCTTCCATACTTGGTGATTCAGGTGTTGGGTCCCATTTGCCTTTCCTTTCACTCTCTGTGGAGGGAAAGCCCCACTAGTAAAAATGAGCCATCTGGATTGAGAAATAGCCAATCCGCACTTGACAAACCTGATGACAATCCTAGGTTCGGTCAGAATAAATTTTTTATTTTATTTTAAATGATAGGTCAGACTATTTTGATATTCAAATACTCTTGCTCTATTTTTGAGTGCTATCTGTGAAAGATTTTGTTCGGTTCGTATAGCTGCAAATTTTGGTGCAAATTTTTGCACCTACTACACTCACATGCTGGTGGGCAATACCGTGAGCCCAACTGTCCATGAATCTGGAAGCCCATAAGAGAAGAGCTTGCCAGTCATTGGCATTGTATTGAAGTTAATTTTTTTTTGAAGTGATTGCATCTAAGGAAGAGATGTGAATGGTTTTCCATGCATGAAGAACACTAGGGCATAGGTTTGTTGAAGCAAGGTAGGACATGCTAGATCTATCAAGGTTGGGGTGTTTAAATTACCTAAGGGCTGTCATCCAAAGGGTGAAGCTATGCTTGGGTATGTTGTGCTTGAACCATATTGTTGTACGTAGTCCAAAATAAAGGAGGAGGGAACTGTGAAATGATTTTAATGGTAGAGGAGTGTACAGGGCAGAAGCGGAGAGAAAGCCTTAAGCCCGACAGGGCTTGAGATTCCGAAAAAGCGAACTTCAAATGTGAAACCCTTTATACTGTTGTGGTCAACATATATATTTCGCACCGACAAAAATACTTATAAGAATGCACAATTTTCATTAAAATGAGAATTGAAATATTTAGGACGGTTCGGAAAGAGAAAACTTTAATAACATTGATTGAAAATCCATTACAATTCTAATTAATGTGTTTCTATTTTTATGGATGTAAAAAAGATAATCTTTTATCACAAATTTTATTTTTATTTTTATTTTTATTTTTATTTTCTGGCAACAACCACCAAAAAAAACAACAAAGAAACAAGCCCACTCTCACCCTCAACCAACGGCATCAACTGCCAAAAGCCTAGAGATGAAAGCTGGGATCGAAAGAAGCACCAAATCCTCATCCATGTTAGCCCTTGATAGACCAGCTAAAGCATGAGCCACCTTATTACCATCCCTTCGAACATGTGCTAATGAAAACGAAGAACAAGCCTGCATCTCTTTCCGGAGCTCAGACAACAAAGGAAAGCACTCACCATCATGATATCGCACACCCGCAATAGCTTCCACCACCACTTTAGCATCCGTCTCAAAGCAGACCTGTTGAAAGTTAAACATCTTGGCCCAATACACAGCACGATACAAAGTAAAAGCCTCAGCGGCCCTCACGGACAAGGAAGAAACTGATTTAAAAATCAATGCTTGAAGAACAGAGCCATCAGAGTTCCTAAAAACCGCCCCTCCACCTCCTAACAAAGCGGATTTGGAAAAACAAGATTACACTTTTACAATTATTACCTTTTTCTTTCTTCTCTTGCTTACAGCTCACAGTGGTAGTGGTTTGACTCTTTCTTCCCTCCTCTTTTGATCTTGTGTGTGCATGTATATATATATAGCTAACCTTCCTGGGTGATCTAGAATGAAAAGAATTAAATATAACTTATGTCAATAGATTTTTTCCTTCTTTTTCTTTTACGTGTGTGTGTGTGAAATTTCTTTTGTATAGTAATCCATTCACAATCTACACACACAATCAAAGAAGAAGAATGTCTTCATTGAGGCTCCAACCTCATATCTCCATTAGAAAAATAGTTGGGGATTTGTACTACTGATTAGAATGATAAAAATAAAAAAATAAAAAAATAAAAAAGGAAAGAAAAAGAGAGAAAATACAAGAGAAAATAATACCAGACGGTTGGCTCGATCTCCCTCTCTCGTCGCTTCGCGCGCTCTCTCTCTCCGCTTCACTCTTGAAATAAGTCTCCAGAGAGGTATTGTCTATTGGCCGTATCAGACTATGGGTCTATGGGTCTCTTTCTTAGATCGTGATTCTTTTCTGAGATATTATTTGAGAGGTGTTATTTTGTTGCCTACTACATTATAGGATTATGTAACCTATTCATTTGATGGTAGACGATCACTGATAAATAATCCAATGGTATATAATTAATACACGTGTATATAATATATATTAATATAAATATATATAGTTTTAATTTGGATCGGATTATTATCGAATTGGATAAAATCCATAGCTCATTTGTTAAGCTAACGGGTTATCGGATTTGGATCGTAAACGGATTATCGGTTTTTTTTGTTCAATTCATATCCCACTAATCGGATCGGATTTGGATTCGGATCGGATTCGGAATCTGAATCCATTGGCAGGTCTAATTTTGTGTAACTTGAAATATACAAATTATTGAAAATTCCCTTAAGATGTGTATTTTCAATATATCCTGAGTCTATATACATACACTTTTACAATAAGATAAATGTTGTATTGGTTTTGGCATCATCTCAACTTAATTGATTCAGTTTT